TTAAATTCTAATTACGTTCCACTGTGCCTCGCAGGGGTGAATATTTCCTTTATGAAAACGGCGCCACGGTACCTGAGATAAAAAAACGAGAATGGCTGTCGCAGTTTTTCCACTACGACAACGTGATGGCTGCGATGCTGACATTGTTTGCGGTGCAAACTGGCGAGGGTTGGCCACAAATTCTGCAGAATTCGATGGCGGCCACGTACGAGGACAGGGGTCCCATTCAAAATTTTCGTATAGAGATGTCCCTCTTCTATATCGTCTACTTCATCGTATTTCCATTTTTCTTCGTCAACATCTTCGTGGCTTTGATTATCATCACTTTCCAAGAGCAAGGAGAAGCTGAATTGCAAGACGGTGAAATCGATAAGAATCAGGTTGGTTGACTGAACTGTTGACTATGATCTATCAGTCTAGAAGATACCAAGGTCGTCTAACGCTAACAGCAATCGAATAAGAAAATCTCTACTAACGTGGTAGAAAGTTGACGTTCTTTCTACTAAGCTCTTAGGGAAAGAATAACAGAGCGATACGATTGATCATTTTATATTCATTTCAGAAATCTTGTATAGACTTCACGATACAAGCTCGTCCTTTGGAGAGATACATGCCGAAAGATCGGAACAGCATAAAGTACAAAATCTGGAGAATAGTGGTATCGACGCCATTCGAATATGTTATCATGGGTCTCATCGTATTAAACACAATACTGCTCATGATGAAGGTAAGCGTCAATAATTCTCTCGTTTGTCCCCCTTCTTTCTCTTTTTCTGCAAAATACGTCTTGAAGAGAAGTAATTGATTTTCTTGTGAACGTTACGTGCCTGATAATTGATAACGCACGTCGGAGAAAACGCGAGCGCCAGGAGGAAGCACGCGTTGATATCCTGCTTGCGTACCTATTTTTATATGTAAATAACAACCGTCGCGTCGTGTTCCATTTTGAAATGACATGAAATAATTCTTTCCCCGGTATACCCGATTTTCTCGCGTTTCAAGTCGTACTCTCTCGTTTGGCAACTTTAACCAATCAAAAAACAGCCTAACATTGATTCTCGTCGCCTCGAGAATTGCGAGAATGTATCACTTGTCGTTATCGACAAACGCGCACAATGGAGAGTTCGAAGCAACTGTAAGATATAACGTTATATCTGTACGAGGACATTGTTGTTCTTGCCTGCAAATTTATTTATTGTTCTTTGTATAATTGTTATCCTTGTATCCATTGATACGTGTACACAATGTTGAATACTTCTGTGTCTTCCTCTGAAAAACCGAAACCTCCTTCTCTTCTTCCTCCTTCTTTCGTCATTTCGATTCCATTTGGAACTGATTTTGGTTGAACACTTGTGATTTATAGTATATATATATATATAAATAATATAACTGAATGTTTTTTTTTATGCTCTTACACATTCATTTCAAAATTGAGATATTTTTCTTCCCATGCCAGGCATGCGCGAGTGCCCGACATTTTTTGGCATACCACTTTTTTCGCTCTCTCTATTTGCCCCTCTATCTATCTATTTATTTGTCCGTCCATCTGCTTACTGTTTGTCTGTCTGTCTGTCTCTCTTGTGATCCAATCGGTTTCTCTCACAAGCGTTCGAATTCGATTGCGTTGAAAATTCAATTGAATATTTCACGGCACTCGCGTATTGCTCTATCCTATATACCTACGTTGCTCTCTTGCGTTTATCAAACATTTTCTTTTACTCTTCTCCGATATTATTTTCCTTTTTCCCCGGTTTTCCCCATTTCGTTCGATATCGTTCCCTGTTCCGTGATCGTTTCGTTTTCTCTGTTGTCATTTCTCTTCTGCCCTTTCGCCTCTGTTCTTACTGCATGTTCGCTGCTGTGTCCTCGTCTTGATAGTAGACGTATTCAAAGATACGTGGAAAAATCCAATATCCAATATCGATGTGTTCCCACACACACACACACACACACATCTACATCCAAACACATACACACGATATGCATTCGACTCGTACGCCTTGACAAGCCCATGTTTGAACTGGTGGCGGAGTTCGAAGCGTTGCACAAGTAATTAGGTTCAATTAAAGATCAATGAGAGTAAAAAAAAAAAACATTTTTTTCGGGCTGAAAGAATGAGAAAAAACACTGCGGCATACAACAGATCTACGCGCAAATTCACGTGCCTTTTGAGCACACATTTTTTGCTCTCTCTTTTATACACTCTCCTTCTGTCTTTTATACACTCTCTTTCTCTCTCTCTCTCTCTCTCTCT